TATATATATATATATAAAATTATTGTTTTCCAGCCTAAATAATTACTAGTTGTTTTCCAGTCCAACAGTAAAAATCAAAAAACCACTGGTAAAAGCTGAAGAACACAAGGGCCAGCCAGGTGGCATGGTGGTTAAGATGGCTAGATCCTGCACGGCTCATCGCGCAGTTTGAGTCCTGGACCCGGTGGCTTGAGAAATGCACCAGGCATGTGTATGTGCATGTCCGAAATCTGAAGAAAAGAATGAAGGAGAAAGAATTTCAGTGTGGCCATCCCGCTGGGGCGGGGGGGTGCTTTTTCAACGTTCACTTTCTTTCTCTCTCTGGTGAGCATGCACACCACATTGCAAATTTTAATAAAAAGCTTTGAAAAATACAAAAGCTTTCATATATAATAGTTTATATGACAGCTCTGCTGGTGCTATTAACATTTTATTGAAAATATTCCTATTGAAAACAACAAATAGGGGATTAGCAGTTAGTGCCACGGCTATGTTACTGGACTCCCATGTAGTATACCACGATTCGAGTCCCAGACCTGGTGGCTTAAACTCACGCCGGGCGCGTGTGCGCGCGTACCCGAGATCCTGAGAGGAGAATGGAGGAAAAGGATTGTGGCGTGGCCATCCCCACTAGGGGGTGATTTCTCGCTTTCTATGTCTCTCTCTCTCTCTCTGTCTTTCTGGCGAGCGCACACGCCCTGTAGCAAAAACCTCTCTGAAAAAAGAAAAAGAAAACAACAAATAGTAAGGAAATATAAAAATATTTGGTAAGAAACAGAAAGCAAATCTTTATATCAATGTGAATAATGATTAACAATTTCTCTGATGAGTGCAAAACCTCCTTGGGATTGAAGAAATAATTTTCCTGTTTATGAATGATAGTTGGCCAGGAACTAACCCTGTATGATTCTTGGAATCATACATAATTCCAATTTGGCCAGTTAATTTACATAAATAAAATAAAATAATTTTTCTTATGAATATACTCAAACTTTTAGCTAGCTTTACTTCCAAGATGTGTAAAAATTTAATGACTGAAATGATTTATGCTTGGTATTAATATGCTTTTGAATATTAAAGGTGTAAGGAACTTCTCATGATGTAAAAGATAAAAAAAAAGAGAGCATCTCATTAGAGATAATCATAGCCAAATGTAAAAATAACAAATGTAGGGCCAGCAGGAGGTGTGAGGGTTAAAGCACTGAATCCCACATGACCAATTGTGTGGTTCAAGTCCCAGACCTGGTAGCTTAAAAATCAGGCTGGTGTGTGAACATGCTCAAAAAATCTCGAGAAGACTAGAAGAGAACAGATTGCAGCATTACCACCCCCCTGGGGGATAATTTCTCACTTTCTTGCCTGTCTGTCTGTCTCTGGCAAGTACATGTGCCCTATAGCAAAAACTCAAAACTAAAAGAAATGAAGCCTCTTACTATGACCAAATCTTTGTATTAGAAATTTCAACTACAGAGTCAGGTGGCATGGTGTTTAAGGCACTGGACTCATACATGGCTGACATGGTTCTTGTCTCAGATCTGGCAGCTTGCTTTCTCACTTTCTCTCTCTCTCTCTGGTCAAATTTAAAAATAATGAAAATAAATAAAATAACTAATTTTTTTTAAAAAGAAATTTTGGGGGCCAGCAGGTGGCATGGTGGTTAAAGGTGCTGGATTCCCACATGGCCAACTGTGGTTCGAGTCCCAGACCTGGTAGCTTGCTTTCTCGCTTTCCCTTTCTCTCTCTGTCTGATCAAATTAAAAAATAATAACAACATGGGGACCAGCAGGTGGTGTGTGGTTAAGGCATTGGACACTCCCACATGGCTGCCATAGTTCAAGTCCCAGACCTGGTAGCTTGCTTTCTCACTTTCTCTCTTTCTCTATCTCTCTGGCTGATCAAACTGGAAAATAATAATAATAATAAATAAAGTTAAATGAAATACTTCTTTAAAAAAATAACAACAAATGGAATTAAGTAAATAAATAATTCTTTAAAAAATAACCAGAAATTTCAATTACAGTTCTGGGAGCCAAGGAGAAGCATTTAAAAGATTTCTTAAAGTTAAACCAAGTAGAAAAATTTTAAAAGGACGAAAACAATTTATGAACCTGTAGACATATTACAAGGAGAGAAAAACTGTCAATAAATTCCAAAAGTAAAATGCAACTGGGGGGGGGAAGAATCTAACTAGAACAAAAAAATTTCTAGTTTCAATTAATTTTTTGTCCATTTCATGTATAAAAGCTATTTATTCTTTTTCCATATGGGCATTTATTATTTGCACAGACACATAAAAATGATTCCCATTTTTAAAAACATACTAAAAATATAGATTAACCTCAAAATTACTTTCTCTGACTGGAAAGAAAATGAGCATGGCTATTTCCAAAATAGCGATAAACACAAGAAACCAATATATATAAATTATGACAAGTATACATCTCATTTTTGACAAAAATAAGTTCTATTTTTACATTAATGCTTTATTATCAGCTTCTATAATAGATCCTCCAGCCTTATTTACACTTATGACATTTCTATTAGCATGTGAACTCAAAGGCACTCAATTCAGAGGTTATAAAGTCCTGAGTTTAAGTAGGAAACAGGATTCCCAACTAAAATTTGAACATAAATAATTCTAAAGATCGGAGAACATAAAAATGTTTAAAAGTGTATTACCTGGTACATAAATAACTTATGACCCATTAATAAAGGTGTACACAATGTCAGTGAGAAAAGACAATGTAAGGCAAAGGAATATCCTCAGAATCGACTGATTCTTTCCTTATTCAAGTTCATCGGAAGGTCTGAAGCTGATTTTTGTTGTTAAAATTCTAGGAGAGCTCAAAGAAAATAGCATGAAAATACTTAAGTTTTTAAAAAAAGTTTCTCAGCTTAGTCTCCAAGACCATGAAAAGTATTTAATGATTAAAAACAAGTATAAATTGGAAATATGTCAGAATAAAAGAATCATAGGAGTGGTTGAAAAAAATCAAAGGACAAGTTTTAAACGCACCAAATGAAAGAGCATCTATAATTGGTCATTCAAATGATTCCTTTAGCATTCTCTTAACCAAATAAAAATAAATTTACCAATAGATAACATAGGCTCACTTTAAGTTTATGCTAAAAGTTAAATTTATATTTTGTTGCAGAGAAACGAGAAATGTACCTGCAGCAGTTTCCCACTGAAGCTAAATTAAATGCACCGGGTTGGCATCTTTGTAACATGAATGGTTTGGCAGATACTTTCTTGAGTTTAAAATGTTTTTTTTTTTTTTTTCATATATGCATAGAAATGGAATGAGGGCAAGGATAGTCTTCTGTATTGTCTGTACAGTTCATAAGGCTTTGTCATCGTTAGTCACCTTAGATGTAAATTATCAGTAGGGCCATGAAATGAAAACTGGCCTGAAGTTTTCAAAGTGCTACTGTTTCCAACTGATGAGGAGCTCCTCAGTTTTCTGGATTTTCTGGGTGACGATTATTTTCAGTTCTTTTTTCTGGTGATATATACAAGAAGTTACAGCAGATATACAAAGGGAAGATCAGAAGCCTGCTGTCCAAGTTCATCACCACTTGTTCCTGTAAGACAGATTTTTGGGGCTTAAAGACAACTGAATAGTCATATTTCAAAAATAAAATTAAAAGCCAGGCTGTTGAATTGAGTGAACAAGGTGACAGTATGAGATTAAAGGACTGCGTCTGCAGTCTGAGAGCCACAACTCGAACCTCAAAACTCCCACTAGCTGTGTCACCCTATCAGCTGGTGTTTGCTCACTGTAAAATGGGGACAGTAAGATCTTGTACCCACCTTCCAAGATCACACTGAGGATAAAATGAGATAACGCACAGAGTTTAGCAAAGCCAGCTATATATTAGAGGATTCAATAACAGCAGTTATTTTCATTGCAGCAAGAATTTCTATCAAGTACCTACGTATTTTATGAAGAGATACAATGTTAGGAAATACAGTAACTTCTCCCTTGGCCCCACTTTCTGATGTCCCTTGGATGAAGGTAGGGAATCATTATCACCACCCACAAGCAGAGTTCCAACTCTTGCCTAAGATTTCCCACTGTCCCTATGACAAACATGCTATCTGTCTCCTGGAACATAAAATGCATGATCATATGAAAGCAATTCAATACACACGACAAGGGTCTGAATTCCCACAGATAGCAGGTGATACCACACGTGAGGGCCACAACAGAACTATCGCTAAGGCTACAGATCTGTGTGAAAACTCACATATCCTTTACCAGAGCATTCAGTGAGTGGGATAAATCCTCAGAGTAAAGGAAGCAACACTGAAGTAAGAATTCCTACCATCTTTTTGTTTGTCATAGGTCAAGTGTGCTCACCAGAGACAAAAAAGGGAAACTGGAACCCCACCCCCTACCCCCCCCTGGGTGGATGGCCATGCCATAATCCCTTCTCCTCCATTCTCCTCTTCGGATTTTGGACATGAGTGCACACATGCCTGGTGTGATTTCCAGGTCCCCAGGTACAGGACTTGAACCAAGGTCAGTCATGTGGGAATCCAGCACCTTAACCACCACTGGCCCTAAAAATTCCTACTTTTAAAATATGACCCATTCTCTCTGTATATACTAGTTTCACTTTATATGTTTTGGAGAATATAATATTAAACACTGTTTAAATCTGGAGTTTAATTGTGTGTGTGTGTAAATTGCTATAGTGCACATGTGTTCACCAGAGAGAGGAAAAGTGAGAAAGCATCCTCCCTCCCCCAAGGGAGAGGGGGATGGTTATGGTTATGGTGCAATCCTTTCTCTTCCATTTTCCTTCTGGCGTTTTGAGCACACACGTACACACAAATGCCTGGCTTGTTTTTCAAGCTGCCTGGTCTAGGACTCAAACTGAACTGTTGGCCATGAGAGATTCAGCTGCTTTAACCACAACACCACCCACTTGCCCAGGAATTTTGAATTTTTACTGAGGTATATGTTCCTGCAATGAAGAGAGACAAAATTAGAATATTGGCATAACTAGAGTAGGATCAACTGGACACAGCTTCTACATTGGGGGAGTGGCAAGATAAATTTAGATAAAGGTTGGGTGGCCAGTCCATAGCCTATAGGTTAAGGGAGCCATATCCAGCATAGCCAACCACCCAGATGAGGCCCAGACCTAGTGGCTTAAAAAACACACTGGGGGGTCCAGCAGGTGGCACGGTATTTAAGGGTACTGGACTCTCACGTGGGCGACTGCGGTTCAAGTCCCGGACCTGGCGGCTTACTTTCTCACTTTCCATCTCTCTCTCTCTCATTCTGTCCCTCTCTGGTCAAATTAAAATAAACAATGTTAAATAATTTATTTAATTTTTAATTTATAATTAATTTACTAATAATTCTTGGGACTAGCAGATGACATAATAGCTACGTTGCTGGACTCCCATGTAGTCAATCACGGTTCAAGTCCCGGACCCAGTAGCTTAAAAACTAATGCTGGGTGCGTGTGCGTGGGTGCCCAAGATCCCAAGAGGAGAATAGAAGAGAAGGAATTGTGGCTTGGCCATCCCCCCGGAAGGGGTGATTTCTTCCTTTCTATCTCTCTGTCTTTCTGGCGAGCGCATGTGCCTTATAGCAAAAACCTCTCAAAAATGAATAAAATAAAATAGAATAAAGTAATTATTTAAAAAGAAAATCACATTGGGCACATGTGCATGCATATACAAAACATCTCCACAGGATGGAGAGATGGAGAAGGAATTGCTCGACCACGCCCTATTGGGGGTGACTTTTCCCTTTCCTTCTCTCTGGTAAACGCATGCATCCAACATGTAACCCAAATAAACATACACCTAGCCACTCAGACCCATACCCCTCAAAGAGGGAAAGCAGTGTTTATACATATATATATATATAAATCAGTGAATGAAATCATCAGCCTATGCAGATGGTGATAGTGCTACGGGGTCCCTGAAGAGGAGTGATGTCAAAGCATAGTTAGTCTTTACGGGAACCAGCAGTTAGCGTAATGGCTATGTCGCTGGACTCCCACGTAGTCGACCGCAGTTCGTGTCCCGGACCTGGTGGCTTAAAACTCACGCTGGGCGCATGTGCGTGCGTGCCCAAGATCCTGAGAGGAGAATGGAGGAGAAGGGATTGCGGCGTGACCATCCCCCCTGGGGGGTGATTTCTCACTTTCTGTCTCTATGTCTCTCTCTGTCTGTCTGGCGAGCGCACGCGCCCTACAGTGAAAATCTCTCCAAAAAAAAAAAAAGCATAGTCAGTCTTTAGATACTCTAGATCACCCTGACCTAGTTAAAATTTGTATCACATCCCCCCAGGGGGTGCTTTCTCACTGTCCCCCACCTCTCTCGTGAAAACACACACCCTATATCACTGTATCAAAACTAAAATAAGTAAGTAAATCAAGATCTGTACACATTAAAAGCAAGGGTCCAAAGAAGATAAGCATTTTGGTTATTTGAGTTCAGTTAAGGTTGAGAGCAGGGCAGATCTCAAAGGGTCCACTCTGGAGAAAAAAGGAAGCCATATGGACATTGACCTGAGGGCTGAATGGACATAACAGTTTCCTATTCTCCATTCCCAAACAAGACAGGTTTAATACTAGGTTTATTAAACCTTTAACTCCACCTGAAGGCTCGATTTATACCTACATTTGCATCGAAGCACCTTTGCAGCAAAGTTCCATTTTCCTAGCCCCGCTATGAGTGGAGGGAGCCCACACACCGCAACAGCAGAGAGAGCAACAGCACTTTCACAGGTCCACATTTCTACTTGCAGAGGGTTATTTCTTCATTTTCGTGTACTAATCTCTGCGTTTCTGAGGTTCATGCTATATGTTCTATACAACACTTCTACCACTTCCCCCATATTCTGTCTTATGGGGATAAATTCCAGGATACATAGATACAGCTCACTACTGGAAATCTTTGCCTAGATCTAAAGCAAATCAAACTGAAATCAACTACTGGCTACTAACTACCCCTTCCCAGAAGGGCCATCTGTGCTTTGGTGCCTGCAATTTGGCTTGGACTATCTTTGCTATTAAATGTCTCTCAGGTTCTTTGTGTCCAACCCTTAAATACTAGTGGCCCCAGAGGCCAGCAGGTGACATAGTGCTTAAGGCTTTAGACGCCCACTTGGTCCACCATGGTTCAAGTCCCAGAACTGAGAGCTTGAAAATCACTCAGGGCACATGAGCATGCACTTTCCCTCTCTGTCTCTCTCAGGAGAGTGTACATGTCCCTATGGCCAAAACCAAAACCAAAGCCCTCATGGTCCCAAAGTTTTCATCCTGTCGCATTCTCTACACATTCCCTGTAGGTTATTCTCCTCTAATCATTTTTTTTCTAGCCCAGTAACTACCTATAAACTCTAGAGCCCTTTTTATCTACTAGCCTATCAGATTCTCACCTTAATGTCCTCAAATCAAATATGCCCTAAACCAAATATATCACATCTTGACCAGACCCCGACCTTTTAAGTCACATTCATCTTCCGTCCTATAATGCAAATCTCAGGAAAAACCACTGCTACATACCAAGTCAGAACCAGGAACCACCTTTCATTACTTTTTCTCTTCTTTCTTTTTTTTTAAATATATATATATATTTTGCTATAGGGCACATGTGCTCTCTGGAGAGAGAGACAGAGAAATAAAGCAAGAAATCACCTCCCAGGGGAGATAGCCACATTGTAATCCCTCCTCCAATCTCTTCTTGGGATTTTCGGTACACATGCACAAGTGCCCAGTGTGAGTTTTAAGCCATCGGGTTCATGGTTTGAACTGTCGCTGACTACATGGGAATCTAGCAAAGTAACCATTATGCCATCTGCTGGTCCCTCATCACTTTTTCTTACCATACAATCAACCAAATTTGGTCATCTGCACCACTTTCTAAAACCCACCAACACTTGTCTCTAGAGATACCTTCCTTAAATAAGATTCACATCCTTTTTTATCTAGATTATAGCGACATAATTGCTGAATTATCTTCCTGTCATTTTTATGTCTTATCTTTCCTACATATTGCTTTCTTATTTTATTTTATTTTTTTAGAGAGAGATTTTTGCTATAAGGGTATATGCATTTGCCGGAAAGAGATAGAGAGACAAAAAGTGTGAAATCACCACCCTGGCGGGGTGACCATGCCACAATCCCTTCTCTTCCATTCTCTTCTTGGAATTTTGGTCACGCATGCACATGTGCCTGACATGAGTTTTACGTCGCCAGGGTCCAGGACTCGAACTGTGGTCGAATACATGGGAGTCCAGCGACATAACCATTATGCCATCTGCTGGTCCCCCTGCATATAGCTTTCTAAGGGAATCTACTATAATGCAAATCTAGTTAGCATAGTCTTTTTCCCTGCCTCTCAAATAAACTTGGGTTTTCCTTTTTTGTCCCAGTAATGCTACTACTAGAATGGGATGAAATTATGCATAAGTAAACAGGGTATTTTTCATCTTTACTTAAACTTTAAAACCCATCTTTATATCAAAATATAATAGTTCCACATAATAAGTTTTAAAAGTGGATTTAAAAGACAAATATAATGACGCAAGAGAAAAATAATCAAACATACCTGATCTTTTTCAAGTGTAAGTATTTGATAGCCAGTTGTCCTACTACATATTAATTTTCCACTACTATCAAAAGAAGCCAAACGTAATCTAGGATAAAAAAAAATACACACAAATAAAAAATAAGCACATGTAGTTTTTAACCACTGACTAATTTTCACAAGTAGTTCCTCATTTTAATATCTATTTTTTCTTTTCCATATTCTTTTTTTTTAAAGAATTATTTTATTTAACTTTATTTATTTATTGTATATTAATTTGACCGGAGAAGGACACAGTGAGAGAGACAAAGAGAGAGCGAGAGAGAGAGAGACAGAGAAAGTGAGAAAGTAAGCTCCCAGGTCTGGGACTCAAGGGAGTCCAGGGCCCTCAACCACCATGCCACCTGCTGGCTCCCATATTCTTTTATTCGATAAGAAGACTGCAAACTGTGCAGATTTACAAACCTTATTATATATATCTGAGATACAAAGATAATTAAGAGCGGCAGATGGCATGGTGGTTAAGGCAATTGGATCCCACATGGCTGACTGCATGATTTGAATCCTGGACCTGGTGGCTTGAAAAACATGACGTGTATGTGTGTGTGTGCACACATGCATACAAGGAGAATAGAGAAGAGGGGACTATGGCATGGCCATCCCCCTTGGGGAAGGCTTTCTCTCTCTCTGTGACTCTTTGGAAGCACATATGTCCTATAGGAAAAACAAACAAACAAAATACAAACTCATAAATAACTTTTTTAATGTGGTAAAATACATATAAAATTTATCTTTATTTTAGTTTTTTGCTAAAAGGCATATGAGCTTACCAGAGAGAGAGAAACAGAGACAGTGAGAAATCACCCCCTAAGGGCTGGCCATGCAGCAACCCCTTCTCCTCCATCCTCCTCTTGGGATTCTGGGCACACATGCACATGCGCCTGGTGTGATTTTCCAGCTGCTGGGTCTGGGACTTGAACTGTGGTCAGCTACGTGGGAGTCCAGCACCTGAACCACTATAGTTTTGCCCATTTTAAAATCAAGTTATTTATTTATTTATTCATTCATTCATTCATTAGAGTTTTAGAGCTCTATATATTCTAGATATTAACTCCTTATCAGATATGTCATTTACAAAAATTTTCTTTCATTTCACAGGTTGCCTTTTCACTCTGGTCATAATGTTCTTTGATGCACAAAAGTTTTCAATTTTCATGAAGCCCAATTTATTTACTTTTTTAAAAAAGAATTATTTTATTTGACATTATTTATTTATTTATTTCAATCTGACCAGAGATGGAGAAGAAGGGGGAGAGAGAGAGAGAGAGAGAGAGGAGAGAGAGAAGAGAGGAGAGAAGAGAGAAGAGAGAAGAGAGCGAGTGAGAGAGAGCGAAAGCAAGCCACCAGGTCTGGGACTTGAACCGCAGGCAACCATGTGAGAATCTAGCACCCTTAACCACTATGCCACCTGCTGGCCCTTCTACTTTTTTTTTTGTTGTCTCTGCTGTTGGTGTCAAATAGAAGAAATCAACACTAAATCAAATGTTATGAAGCTTTCCCCCATGTTCTCTTCCAAAAATTTTAATTTTAGCTATTATGTTTAGATGCTTGATCCATTTTGAGTTAGTTTTTGTGTATGGTATATGTATAAATATATCTTTTATTTTCCTTTTTTCTTTTTGTAATTTGCTATGAGTGCATGCTTGCTGGAGGGTGTGTGTGAGAGAGAGAGAAAGTGAAAATGCAGCCCCTAGGAGGTAAGGCCACAACATAATCCCTTCTCCATTTTCGTCTTGGGATTTTAGGCATGCATGCGTGTACACATGTCCAGTATGTTTTTCAAGACACTGGATCTCGGATTTGAAAGGTACAGTTGGCCATGTGGGTTCCAGTTGCCTTAAACACTATGCCACTGCTGGTGCAAATATATAACTTTTAAATAACCTGTTAATTAAGCTATTTTCCAATTTGTCAACATATAACATCACTCCAGAAAGACTGCCAACTCAACTATCAGAAAAAAGATTGGACATATCAAATTTCATAGAACATATATATATATATATTTTTTTTTTTTTTTTGGGGGGGGAGAGATGTTTGCCATAGAGCGTGTGCGCTCGCCAGACAGACAGAGAGAGACAAAGAGACAGAAAGCGAGAAATCACCCCCCCAGGGGGGATGGTCACGCTGCAATCCCTTCTCCATTCTCCTCTCGGGATCTTGGGCACGCACGCACACGTGCCCGGCGTGAATTTTAAGCCACCGGGTCCGGGACGCAAACCACAGTCGACTACATGGGAGTCCAGCGACATAGCCATTACACTAACTGCTGGTTCCCAAATTTCATAGATTAAGAATATGCCAGGCAGTGATATGGTAGTTAAGGCAGCTGGATCCCACATGGTTGATCATGTGGTTTGAGTCTTGGACCTGGCAGCTTGAAAACCGTGCCAGGTGCATATGCATGCATGCCCCAAATCCTGAGAGTAGAAATAGAAAAAAAGAGACTGCAGCACAGCCATCCCACTTGGAGGGTATTTTCTCTCTCTCTCCCTCCCTGGTGAGTGCATGCACACTATAACAAAACTAAAATCAAAAACAAAAACAAAAAGAAAGTTAAGGATAATACCAACCATGTTTTTATGGGAAAATACCTTGCCATATTTCAAGTTTAGACCTTTCATTTGCTAGGAATAACAAAGCAAGAGTGTCAAGCCCAGTAGCAATCATTTATCATTTATACCCCAGCCTATGCGTTCTCCCTGACATACTAGATCTTATGATATTTTTAAAAAAGAATTATTTATTTACTTTTATTTATTGATTCATTTATTTTCAGTTGACCAGAGAAAGACATACAGAGAGAAGGAAAATGACAAAGTAAGGCACCAGGTCTGGGACTTGAACCATGGTTGGCCATGTGGGAATGTCCAGAGCCTTCACCACCATGCCACCTGCTGGCCCCTAGAACTTATAAATTTTTAAAAAATATTTACTGGGACCAGCAGATGGCCTAACAGTTACATTGCTGGACTCCCACGTAGTTGACTGCAGTTCAAATCCTGGACCTGGTGGCTTACAACCTACACCAGGTACACGTACACGCGTACCCAAAATCCCAAGATGATAATGGAAGAGACAGGACTGGAGCGTGGCCATCCCCCGGGGGACGATTTCTTGCTTTCTGTCTCTCTCTCTCTCTGTCTGGTGAGCTCACGTACCCTATAGCAAAAATCTCTCTTAACAAATTTTATTTAATTTTCAGGACCAGCAGTTGGCATAATGGTTATGTAGCTGGACTTCCATGTAGTCGACTGAGGTTCGAGTCCTGGACCCAGTGGCTTAAACTCACACTGGGCGCGTGTGCGTGTGTGTCCAAGATCCCGAGAGGAGAATGGAGGAGAAGGGATGGTGGTGTGGCCATCCCCCCGGGGGGTGATTTTTCGCTTTCTATCTCTGTCTCTGTTTTTCTGGCAAGCACACAAGCCCTATAGCAAAAACCTCTCAAAAATTTTAATTTATTATTATTATTTTTAGCTTTTATATAGGGCCTCTGTGGTTAACAAAGAGAGACAGAGAAAGCAAGTCACTAGGTCTGGGACTTGAACCACGGTCGGCCAAATGGGAGTCCAGCATCTTAACCACCATGCAACCTGCTAGCCCTTAGATCTTATAATATTGATTATTAATAACACATCTCATAGGAATGAAACATTATCATTTCCAAGCATTTTATTTTTTTCAAAGAATTATTTAACTTTCTTTTTTAATTTATTTAATTTTAACTTGACCAGAGAGAGACAGATTAAGAGAAAGTGAGAAAGCAAGCTTCCAGGTCCAGGACTTTAACTATGATTGGCCATGTGAGAGTCCAGTGCCCTTAACCACCATATCACCTGCTGCTCTCCCCCCTGCCCCCAGCTCTTTCACATATGCTATATCTTACCAAAACCCTACTGGTATCAATATAGATGACCAATGTTTTATTTTACTTCTTATACTTCCTCAGGAGTAAGAAGGGTCTGAGGTAGAGGAATCTCATCCTACCTAAATGCAATGCTCCTTCGAGGTTGTAAACTGACGGATCCGCTACATGGCTGATTCAGAGTATTGCGTTTGAAAATGATGTATCGATTGGTGTAAGTTACAAGTAGGTCAAAGCCGAAGTTAAAACCTGTCCACCGCCAGCAGTACTGAGAAATACAAGAGAGAGAGCTTAATTCAGTTTGTCATAATTAGCAAGTAAAAAAAAAAAAGTTCAAAATATCTTTTCTTCACTCTAATTCACTCAAAGTATGGGAAAATAATATGGCATTTTTCTAGTACTGCCTCTTTATAATCTGTTTCATTATCACTCCAAACTGCAATTCTACCATATATAATAAGCTTCTCGCTACAACTCTAAGCAGGTACAGCTGAGGGCACTAGGAGTCTAGGTGCAGGTAGTAAGAAGCCATTACGATCCACATTGCTGAAAAAAATATAACACACACAGAGTGGTCTATTTTAAATATCATGAGGTTTACAAGGTTGTTTATCCTATCAGCTAGCATAAGAAATTATTAGGTAAGATAGTGTAGTATGGGTAAGTGAAGCTAGGGCTTCAAGAATATGGTTGACGTTCAGAATTATAACATCAATGCAATATTTAACTCATATTTACTAAGCATATATTATATGTCAGATCATGCTTTAGACAGTTAAGACAGTAAATAAAACAGTTTCTGCCCCAATATCTTTTTTTAAGATATGCTTACAGTGACATATTTACAGCTGAATATAAAGGCCTGCTTGCACATCAATACCAGGCCCCTTGGGTGGTTTAGTCAAAGAGGTGAGACCTCCAGCTGGCTCACAAAAAAATTTGCCCACTCGTTGGCCCCCGTTTGGCATTTTGCCAGCCTTGAACTCATCAGTGCCTTTTTCCAATATCTTTAGGTGTCAGATCCTCAAAGCAGTTGTCATTTATGTGAACCTTGGTGCATTTATATGGGCTCCTAAACGTTCCACCTCTATTAGAGTGAAGTTTGTCAGGTGTAGTCCCTTCAACCTCTATTCCCAGCTTTTTCTGAATGGCCTCTGAGTTTGGAAGCACCCGGGGTGTAGCAGTGCAGACCTCAATGTGAGACCTTCCAGCTGGCTTTCGGTTACACACGGTATGAAAGTTGCCCCTTGTGTACTCTCACTGGAGGCACCTCGTTCAGAGCGGAGATGAGGAACCACCCATTCTGCCTTTGTGCTGAATCCAGGGCTGGAAGCACAGTTGCTGCTTTAGACCCTTCTGGATTGCTTTTTCCACAATTGCCTCTACCCACTCAGTGTTCTGATATGAGACCAAATGGAGTATCTGGGCTATTCTCAGGACTATCTCTGTGTACGAGTAAGGCTCCTCCAGCTCCATTTCACAAGGTGTTTTATGCAAATTCCTTATGTCTCCCCCAGTGGGTGGTAGGGCCAGTCACCTGGGCCTGGAGCGCCAAGGAGAACACAGTGGGCCAAACTGTTCACCTTTCCCCACCCTCGTAGTTTTTAATTCAGGTACATGTATATGCTTGTGTGGTAGGGAAGGAGATGAATTATACGCACAGAAAGGGAGGGGTGGCCAGAGCTGAGAAGAGAATGATGGGTAGAGGAGGGGGGCTTGTACTTGGGCTGCTGATGTAGATAGGCACTGGAGGAAAGTCCCTGAACGAGCACACCAGGTAGCTTTCTAGGAAAGTCTTGGGCAGACAGAGCAGCAAGTACAAAGGTCTGGAGGTAAAAATATGCTTGGCATACCTGAAGAATAGCCAAAGGGCCAGGTGAATGACAGTGACTGATGGAGACAGAAGCTGCATATGAGTTCATAAGGGCATACAAGATCCAAAACCAGTAGGTTATTGGTTCATGTGTAAAAAAAAATTAGGATTTCTTCTACGTGTGGTGGAAGATTAATGGAAGATTTTAGGGAAGGAAGTCACATTATCTAATTTGCATTTTAAGATTACTTTGGCTGTTGTGTGGAAAACAGAATGTAAAGGAGGGCCAGCCCCATCACCTAGTGGTTAAGGAGGCCAGACCCTACCTGGCTGAGTGTGGTTCAAGTTCTGGCCCTGGCATTGTAAAAAACACTGGTGTGAGTGTATGCCTACCCCAAATCCGAACAGGATACAGAAATGGAAAAGTTACTGCGGCATGAGAAAGCACCCCATCTCTGGCAATGAACAAAAAGAATGTAATGAGCAAGAGTAAATAGGGGGCTAGCCTGTGGCATGGTGGTTAAGGCTAGAACCCATATGGCCAACCTGAAGTTCAGTCCCAGACCTGGAGGCTTGAAAAACACCCAGGGCACGTGTACATGCATGCCCAGAATCCTTCAGGGAGGGAGAGATGAAGGAGATGGGACTGCAGTGTGACTATGGCCCAGAGTAGGGCTTTCTTTCTTTCTTTCTCCTACCCACTCCCTCCTCTCCCGGTGAGTATGTACATCCTCTGGCAAAAAAATCTTTTGAAAAAAGGAGTAAAATAGGGAGAGTAGTTATGAGGCTATATAATAGCTCAGGTAAGAGAGAATGGGGACCTGGACTTGGATGTTAGTGGTACACCTGCTAAGATTGTATTTCTGAGGTAGAGCCTTGAGGAATTTCTTACAGACACCAAAAGTGGTATAAAAGAAAGAAGAATCCAAAATGAATTCAAAGTTTGGAGTCTATTAAATTATGAACAGAGGGGCCATCAATGAGTTGGAGAACACTTTGGAAGGAAGAGGTTCAGGGATGAAAATCAAGGGTTTTGCTTGCCGCTGGTTCTATTGGAGAAGGTACAAGTATCCAGGGAAGATGAAGAGCGAGGAGCTAGATGTACGAATCTGGAGTTGCACGCCATCGGTGTGCAGATGGGCTGTAACGTCCAGGGACGAGATGAGCTCACTCAACTCAGAAGTGAGCACAGACAGGGAAGAAGCCCAGGAACAGGTCGCTGGTTACACTGGCAAGGTAAGGAGTAGAGGAGAGGGATCCAGCACTACTTAGAAGGAACAGCCAGTAAGAAAAAAGAAGAAAACCAGCAGTGTGCTGTCCTAGAAGTCAAGTGGAGGAAATGTTTTGACAAGGAATAAGTGAACAAATATGTCCATGTTGCCAAGTGCTTTTAGAAGAGGACTCAAAACTGACTACTTGATTTGGCAATGTGGGGATCACTGGTGATGATGACATGGCAGATTGAGGGAGTTACGCAAACGTACTGGAGTGGATTCGAGAAAGCATTGGCAACTTTCTTCGGAGTTAGGCCTAGAAGGGTGGGGAGCAATGGCAGTGGTAGCTAGAAGAGGATGTAGGGTCAAGGTACAGTTTAAGATGGTGATACTGCAGGACATCATATGCTACACAAGGATGATCCAATACGAGAGAAAATTGACGATGCAGAGAGGGAGGTGATAACTACAGAAGCAAAGTTCTTATTGTTTTTAAAGATTTTATTTAACTTTATTAATTATCATTATTATTAGACCAAAGAAAGAGAGAGAGAGAAAGCAGACTGCCAGGTCCAAGATTTGCACTGTGGTTAGTCATGTGGAAGTCTAGCGTCTTTAACCACGCCACCTGCCAGCCCCAAGCAAAGCTTCGAAATAAGAGAGAATGGATGGGTCCAGGACAAGGAGAGGGGGTGGCCGAGGATAGAAGCAGACAGCTCATCCATCCTAAATAGAGAAAAGCACAGCACACAGCTACAGAAGTAGGTGACCTGGTAGAACCGGTGGTAAGAGGAGGTACAGATTTTCTTCCTCCTGCAGTAAGAAGCAAGGCCCTCAGACAAGAGTAAGGGAGTAGTGCTGTCCTAGGAAGAAAGAAAGGCATGAGTCACCTCCGATCATGGAGGATGGATTCATGAGGGAAATGTGAGAGCATTACCATGCAGCACTGAAGACCTGCTTGAAGTTTATAGCTAGGGACAGAAATCAAGAGTTCTCTTTAGGGCTATTGTATTTGAGATACTGGGCATCCAAGCAAGATGGCAAGTGAAGAGGTGGATATATGAAGGAGTTAGGACTGGGGTATGGCATTTGTCTTTAGTCACATTCACCTGTTGCATGTAGGCATGGAGTACACAGACATTTAACAAGACTTGGGGTTTAGTAAGTTTGACAGAGTCACAAAGGAAAAGAAGAAATTAAAAGAATACAAGCAAGGGACCAATTTTAAGGTAGAACATATGGGCTGCTTCTGTGGCCTAGTGGTTAAGGGAGCTGATTCCATTGACTGATTGAGGTTTGAATCTTGGTCCCAGCCCCAGCACTTTGAAAAACACATCTGGTGCAGATGCATGAGTGCCCAAAAACCTGACAGGAAGGAGACGGGAAGAGATTGCAGTGACCACGCCCCATTAGGGGGTGCTTTCTCATTCTCCTCCTCCTCTCTCTCTCTCACTCTCTCATTCTCTCGTAAGCATATGCATGCTCTGACAATTAAAAAAAAAAGGAAAAAAATATAAAAACATAACATACATCAGGTAAAGAAAGAAGTAGGGATGGTGGTGAGAAATGTGACAGAGAAAGGTACTAAGAACAAGGTACTGCGTATCTCAGTGGGGTTAAAAAATTGTTGGCGTCCACACAGTAGAGAGAACTAGAAAGAGGGAGTGGATTCTGAAAATGAGATGCTTGACATGGATGTTTTAAAGGCAGTATGGTAATTAGCAATGCAAAACTGATGATATGCCCATAGGGATGGGTGCCTGAAGCAGGCTGGATCACACCACTCGAGGAAGGAGGATAGGGAAGAGACAGAAATCGCCAGGACTGGTAACAGCTGTGATCTGGACAGCCAGAGAGCCCAGCGAACGATGGCCTCCAAAGGGCAGTACATAGCGTAGTAGAAGCATTGACCTCAGAAGAGCAGTGGTTCAGTAAGCAAAGAGCAGGAGTAAGACCTAGAAGCAGCAGCAACAAGAAGAAAAAGCAATGAAAGACAGCTGCTTCTCTTTCATACTCTGAACACTATCCCAATTATGAATACAAACAAAATAATTTCTAAAAATTAAAATGCGAGGAAATTTTGAAGAAAAGTAACTGAACAGGTATTTAAATTAGGCTGAAAATGTTTTTATTGCACTTATGAGACGGAAAGAGAGAGGGAGAGGGACAAAGGACCCTCCAGTGAGACATGGTCATGGCTCAGTACTGTTGAGGTTTTATGCATACACATACATGCACCTG